TGTATGTATGTCAATGTATGTATGTATGTATGTATGTATGTATGTATGTATCGGTCGCCATTGTTGCTACAACTCTTGTGTATTCGACTGCTGACTGGAATCCTGGAGGTTGTTGACAACCAATTTTGATCATCATCAACGCATTCTTATAAGAGGGCGTGGGTTCCGCGAATTGCAGCTTATGCCTGCACCGGCTTGCAGCAGAAACTTCCGGCATGTTGCACCCGGGGCTCAACTCAACTTCAGGCTTAAGAACGGCATAAGTGTTTAATCGAAGATCGAGTCGAACGCCACGATCTCACACTGGCATCCAGTTTGAGTGTTTACGGGCTCAGGTTTTCTGGGGTCAAGACTGTAGGGATGTATAATTTCTGCTTACACCAGGACATGTGCCTGCTGTGCCGCAGCTGGCACACCAATCTCACCTGAGACGGCGCCTGCCAACAGTGCGAGAGCAAGAAGGGATACTGTATGGTAAGGTCAGAAGGAAAGGAACAGAGGAGTCGACAGCTTCTGCAACCTTGGCATCCCCCACAACAGAGTTACATGTGTCGCGATGCTGTACAACCAAGGACATCTATGACCGCAACTCGTTCGCTTGGAATGCGGCCTCCGAGTAAGTCTCTGCTGCGTGTCGGCGGGGACGGCGCCTCAGGGAGTGGAAACGAAGCAGAAAGCCGGAGCCCGCAAAGAGCTCTCCCCGGATTTGGGCTTCGGAACTCTGCACAATGCTGGTATGAAATGTTTTACCCTGTCTGGTATGACATACAGCAAGCGGGTTGCTGGGTATGCGAGAAAGCTGAAGAAGAGCACAGGGTGAGAGGTGAAGTACGCAACAACACTGCAGCGACATGATGAATTTGGCTGTAACTCACCTGTGGCCAGGGTGAGCACATTAGATCTGATGCAACATGTTGAGGCAAACTGGGGCAGCTCCTGCGCTATGCTGCAGACTCACGTACCTCTCGGACAGCATCCACTGGCACTGGCCGAACAACACCGCATGTCAGAGTGGAGGACCCGTAGGCGTTGGAGGATCTGGGTGTCAAGCCACAGCCGTTGGCAGCGCGGTGGCAAGATTCACGGATGCCCTGCAGAACCAAGCTTACTGAACAAAGGCTGTCATTGAAATGACACTTCCGTGGTTCAACTTCAGGAACTACCCTTAAAAAACCAGGGACTACGATTAGTTCCTGCCTTGCCGCACCAGCTCAAGATTGCAGGATTTTCTGTGTTATGGTTGCCATCGGGATTACTATAAGGCTTATATATGGGACTTGAAGGGGAACAGGGGCCTTTGAGCTTTGCGGTATCCGTCGTGTGACTCCGTCAATATGACTATGAGGCCCGTAGAGTGCAGATGTGCGCATTACAAGAATAAAATTCTGCTCTACACCCAACAAGCCCTCACTGTGCTCTCGACTAGGATGAGCTACCATGTGGTTATCCTCCCTCTGTCTGTAATCGAAGACCCAGGATACCTGAAGTGGGACAAAGTTGTTCCATGCCATGTGCTCGACACACGACGATGCTTCAGCTTGTGGGTACGTCTTTGCATGATTTCTGCGTCGAAAGCTGCATACGAACGCCTGCAACTTGAACATAACTGCTACATCGACAGGAGGGTCGAAGTCATGCTTAAGGACGTAAAGGCATAATGTAGGGGCCTTAATGATTAGAAGAGGGCTTTGGGGTATAATATACTATATTTATAATCCGGAGCCCCCCCCCCCCACAAAAAAAATAAGGCCCCTGTAGTAGGTATGCCTGTCTGGTTTCATGACCTCGGCCATCACATCAGAACCCCGGACCCTTCAATCCTGCCTCAACAGGACAAATCCATATCCTCAAGGCAACCCCAATATGTGATTTAACTAGTTCTCTGGGGTACGTTATACTGTAAGAGTAACAACACGGACTATATGGGTAGTTCTCTAGATTAGGGTCCCTTTCTAGGTCCCCAAAATAGTACGGCACCCTTGTAAAAGCACCCTGGCCCTAAAAGGGACCCCAGTTTAGAGAACTACCGACATGAGGGGATGCTAGTCAGATACTACGCCCCAAACTACAGTACACTTGGCCAGAAAGACTCGGATGTGTGCAGGTCCTGGCCTCTGTGGAGACGGAGGGACCTCTGCGGCCTTGCGACGTTAAACCGAGCTGTGAGTTGAGTTGACATCGCTGTGTGTTTGTGCATGCGATTACGAACAGCAAGGAAGATGATACAGATCGGCACTGAAGTTTGTGGGGAGCAACAAAGATGAACAGACAAATGATGAGACAGACTTATGTGGACGCATGTGCGGACGGACGGAGCAGGTTGCTAGGATTAGGCCTTAGGCTGGGCTCGATCAGATTCAGGTAACGTGTGTTTGGGCCCCCTAGTCCATGCAGCTGGGCTCATCCATCTCAGGAAAGGCTGGACAGGGCCGGATCAGGTCAGCTTAGCTGGGAATGTCAAGTATGGCAGGCACGACCTCCAGCAAGTCTAATTGGGAGGTCTTCAGAATTTTCTGAAGTTAGAGTGGAATCTCGCATAGTCTCGGATCATGCCTCAGGCACTACCGGCGGGACCAGCGGCGCCACTGCCGGTGGCTTCGCCGGTGCCGGTACTGGCAGCAGTGACAGCGGTCGCAGGGAATCTAATACCGGGGCCTGAATACTGGGTTTTGGGGTATATTATACTACAGTTACAATAGGGAACCCCATGGAACCCCTACTACCCTTTAACTTTTTTACCCTATATTACATAAATTCGGCTCGGGACGAACGAGAATTTCTTTTTCGAGTTTTTTGAGAGTCTGCCATCTGCGATCTTCCGCCTCCTTCTGACGAGGGCTTTGGCTTCCGGCTCGGCTAGGGCTTAAAGGCTTAA